ACGGTCGTTGGAATCACCTGCCAGAATCAAATTCTTTCCCTGCAACGTCTGTAGGCTCTGCAAACCGACGCCGATGTCTGCTCTTTCCGGCTTCCTTCTGCCGATGCCTGGCTCCCCCTGCGGCTGGGAAAATGTGGCTGGTGTGATGTTGCTGACGCTGACACTGGGAGCTGAGGACTCCGTCAATGGCACCAGGGGCTCGTGCCGCATATGCCTCTCATTGGGTGGGGGCCACCAGAAACCTCGGTGTCATGTGGCGTGTTCGGCTAACGCTCTGAGGAACGCCTTTGAGCAATTGACACCCCCTCTGCTAGCTTCTTCATACTCCGACTCCCTTCGCTGGTGTTGGATCATCTGGCATCTGACCCTACTATATATCATATATTGTCACATGAGGATTCTAGTAGCTTCTTGTTACTATCCACGATGGCCTCCACCTAATAGCGACCTAATGCTCATGTCACATAGTCACATGATCATGTGTAGTATGTCATGGTTCGGGACCTGTCGAGACACAATGGACAAGCGTAAGCGCACTCACTCCAGCAATTCCGGCCAAGCGAAGCCAATGCCATGCCCCCATTCAAACGTCGTGGAAAGCAAGTGAGCTGGAGGTACAGAGTGAGGATGTGTGTTGTAGACAGTCATTGCAAATGATGAAACCACTCATGTACAATTCATTCACCAAAAGCTATTGGAGCTGCCAGGAAGCAGGAAGCTTCCAGGAAGGACTGTCTGCTGTGCATGCGACATATTCCGCGCGGTGCTATAATTCATTGACAAACTGAAGCTATCATGGCCCATGCAGTCGCTGATGTATCAAATGCAAGAGTCCTGCGGGAGTGCGGTGATATGTTGTGGTAGACGGCTGGACTAGCTCACCTCGCGAACCTGACCGAACCTGCCTTACCTAAAGTGGTCGAAGGTACTCAATGCTTTCCGTATACGCCCTGCTATTCTGCCAAGATCACAAAGTCGTTTTCAACCATCCTGCCCTTGATTAGGCTTTTAGCTGTTGTCAGAACCACACAGACATGTTAACCAATCTACAGATATCTGCAGTATATACTTTCCGCGACAACCAAGGTAAGTTGTGACTTGCTGTCTAAGTGTGCAAGACCGATCCATGAGTACCGCAAGCTGTTAGGCTCTGAAGAGGGCACTTTTTGGCAGCTGCGTTGAGGTCAGCTGTTGTGGTGCCGCCGCCGTGGGCCAAACAGCTGTTGACCAGCGTAAGCGTCAGTACAATCGTCAAAAGCAATTAAGTGCTCCCATTTCCGGTCCAGGCTTTCCATGGTCTTTCGTAGCACCTGAGTGATCAACAGGTCCCAGTAGTGTCACGGCCTCATTTTATTGCCCAGTCTTCGGTGGGAGACACTTTTTCCCAGTGACTCTTCATCAAGATATCACTGCTGTGCTGAATGTGGAGCTTCATTCTTTGACAGTAGCTCGAACGGCTGACGCCGGAACTTGCACCCTAGGCTTCTTTCCGCACCAAAAGCGTGGAATGCCATGACCCAAATGGCCTCATGGTTTGGAAGACCAGGGCACAAGCAGCTGTGCAAACTGCCAGCCATGCGGGCCTGCAGTTTGATGAGGTAATATAAGAAATGCCGAGGCAAAATATGTGCCAAATTGCGTGTAGTGTGCCATGCACGTATGCAGCTTTGGCCATTGAATTAAAAACTGGCACTTCAAAAGTGAAGCTGCTGTGCCACGAGCTACAGCTTCAGTGTTTCGGAAGATCCGTAATCTATCGTAATCAGAAGAATAGAAGCGCCGTGCTAGGCCTAAGCCTTCTGTGTTGTCCTATAACTATAACTTCCATTAACTTCCTGTCTAAGTCTAAGCTCCTCACCCACTATGACATGTCTACAGCCAAGGGACACTGTATGACCTTCCATCCTGGGGAAATGCACATCGCTTAAAACGCTTAGCTACTTTTGCTTTTCTCCCAAGCGCCCCCCTTGAACACAAGCACGCTCAGTCCAAGCGTGACCTGGCGGCAAAACATGTCCCTGAATGCGGCAAGCAACTGAAATCCAGCTAGAGGAAAGGACACATGCAGGTAAGCATGTGCTACAGTAAATCAAATGTCACTCCGATAAACACACATGGGGAAAGAAAGAGGGAACAATTGCACCTGGGCAATCAACGCAAGGGCAGCCTGGCAAACACATCCAACAAACGCAGCTTGACGTTTCTCGGTGCAATGCATGTCGCCCAAGGCATATCTTATCACCTGGTCTTGCAACACCCTAGCAACTAGTAGCAGCAGTTGGCCAGCAAATGCCTTCCTGGTGCACAACAAAGGTTTACGAAAGCATGACGGTGCAACTCCTTGTGTGTCCAAAATTAGCAGCGCCCAATGGCTATGCAAACGCCCTTTGGCAACAGGACTTGTAGATGGTGCAGGCTGAAGTGCGCAAGCCAGTAATTGTACATCAAATGCTGTGGGTCCAGTGAAACGCGCCCAATCTTTTTCGTCATCATGCTGTGTTTGCCTTGTTGCGATCGACATTGATGTAGAGTAGCCTTGGAAGCTCAGCTGTCGAAGCTGGCAAATGCATGATGCCGCGGTGCTCATCCCTTTTCCTTCTTCTTTGTTAGTTCGTTAAGGAGGCACAGGGCATAAATTGGCATAAACGCTTCCTGTGGGGACACTTGGATCAACAAATCATATGCCACCTAGAGGCTCCATGATCTTTTCGCCCGCCTCAAACCAGTCTGTCAGCCTCAGGTTTCAGCTACAGTAATCTAAGAAACCACAAAAGGGACCTCACTAGGGCTGTCCAACAATTTCTCAAGTACCAGTACCAGCTCCTGCAAACCTCCTGGCCTGTCTGCAGGCTTATCCTACCTTGCCATGCCAACGGTGGCAACGGCACTGGACTGAGGCACTTGATTCTCATTTGTCTGTGGCTGCCCACCCTTGGAGCACCAGCACCGCAAACATTGACCAGCCTGCGGAAATCAGCAGTCCGAGAAAATCCAATGCTAAATGCATGGAACGGTTGAAGCGACAGGCCAATGACTTTCAGTTATATATGTCTTTCATGGAATCCATCGACAAACCCCAAGGTGGTCCACCGGCTTGTCTGTCGAAGACCAAAGATGCGATCTCTGAATCGTGTCATCCTGTATTACCTGAGTTTTAGTGATTTGAAAGTAACTCTTGGAGCAAGAACCATTATGGGACTCATGACGGCATCTGTGGACCTCATGGACTCATGAGGCTATCTGCATCTTTTGCACTCCAGCCTATGGCTTGGAAGATGACGTGCAAGTGTCCACCCTTGAAAGGCTGCCACAAACGATATGTCGGTTGCCTCAAGCAGTCCACGAGCCAAACTTTCATCATCTTTCATAATTTTTCCGTGGGCTGCTAGGCTTCGTGTGCCCCGTGTGCAGCTTCACTGGATTGAGGTTGCGCGAGGTTGCGAGTCAACGATTCTGCAAACAAGCGGCGTAACAAAGCCACACACATGAGTCGCAGGTGTCGAGACAAAGAAGCCAAAGTTGCACAAGCCTTGGTCAAGCAAAGCAGGAGAACCTCATGTTACGTCATTTTCCGCAAGTACTTGGTGTCAATTTGCGCTTGTAAAGTACCTGTGTCGATTTAGCCGATCCAGCAAAGTGCCAGTGGAAGCTCCCGAAGTCTGCCTCTTGCTGCCTGCCTATGCTTGCAAGTCTCAGAACATGAATGGGTTCCTTCTTTGTCGTTTGATGTCGTTTATTTATGTTCACTTCGGTAAACAAATGCCGCAGCAATGCCACAAAAGAACCTTCAGCAAGCAAGCCAAACACGTTTGGTTCGAAGCAACACTGTGCATCAAATTCCAGCATGAACCCTCAAGTACTTCAACAAACCTTGCTTCCTGGTGTTGTCAACTTGTTCAACTTAGATCTTGCAGTTTGTAAGCGGTTGTTTCTTGCATGGTCTTTGGGGAATTGACTCAGCTGGTGCAGGCACATAGCCGGCTCCGAATATCAAGTTGTTCAGGGTAAAATGTTAATCATCACCAACTGTCGTAGCAGGTGCATGCAGCATATTTACCATCATCCTCCAAGCATGCTGCTCTAGCGAGAGAGAATCTGGGAACATCAAACACCTGTAGCCTTTAGGCATGGCAAAGCTGCTCCGTTGCCGCTGCGGCGTCCCTAGAAATCTAGGAGCCGAATCAATGAGCCCCTAAGAAACCCCCTCCTCGTCCCGGCCTCAAAAAAAAACAAAACCTATTGAAACCTGCTTTACCACCAAGTCGCTGCAAAGGGTGGAGGATGTGGAGCACGCGACCTGGAGATCGCTCCAAGCGACCGATCTGAATGTAAGCAACAAAAGAAGAGAGAAACCGCTTTTCTGCAAAGCGATGTCCCTCTTGAAATCCTTTCAAGGAGGCTGGAAATGCAATCTGTCCAGGGTTGCATTACCAGCATTGTGGAACTCCCATAACGACCCAAAAGCTGACAAAATGCGCGCGCTCTTGATTCCATTGCATAAGATGCTTTTCTTTATGACTGCCAAAGTCATCCTTTTCACTGGCTTTCATACTTTAAATTGCGTGTCAAGCCACTGAAAGACTCAAGCCCCCGCAAAGGACCACCAAAACCTAAGTACAGCTCGCAGCACAAAAATTGCACCACATCCACCTCACAATCCTCAGTCAAATGTCTCTGCATGGTGCACCCTTGAACTAACTTTTCTGCACTGTGGCCGCAGCACGCATCTGAACTACATCCCAAGCAACTTGCCACACCGAACTAAGCACACTGCCATTGTGCAAAGAGAGATCAGAACTGGTCCTACAACCAGAGTAAACCTAGGACGAAACGGACAGCTTTGACCGGCTTTGACCCTTATCCAACTGATTGTGAATATTGTGCGTGTCAAAACCAAACCGACAGTTTTTGTGAGAAAGCTCGCGTCCCTTCTAAGATTCTGGCAAGCTGGGCCTTTTGTGAGAAGGCGAGTTCCTGGGAACTCAAGGCTTCTTGAAATTTCATGACATACATGAGAGACCAATTTCCTGAGACCAGAGTTCTTCATGACATACAATGACAAGCACATCGTTTTTTCTGATGTCATGCATATGCGCCTTGGCACGTCGGTCTCTCCAGCTGCAACTCTGGCAATGGCTTCCTGCGACTCGAGCGCATTCAAGGCCGCACGTGTCTCCATGGCCAAAAGAAGGCCTCTGTGGTGTAGAGGTGGCTAAATCCGAAGGTTGTTCTGAAGAGAGTGTTGTCAAACCTGAGTGTAAACATCCTCGCAACTCCCTGGAATTGGCACTGGCAGCTGGAGAGTGCAGCTGTTGCTCCAAATGGTTGCCAGGCTGCCACTGATCGATGAGACCCATCTTTGCCATAGAGTATCTTGAGAAGTATGCCTTTGGCTCCAATGTCCGGCCTGAGGCGGATAAAGTTCCAAACCGAAAGTTGGGTTTGCATAAACTCTCGCTAGTTGCGGATCTAAACACCACTTCCGTCCGCCTGCTGGCTGGTCAAAGGGAGAGCTCGGAAGCTGCAAAGCGAAAGACGAGACGAAAGACATGACCTGAGCAGTGGGTTCACTGGCAAAAATCACTCAGGAACTCAGGAACCCTGAATGCTAAGGCTATCTAAGGCTCCCGCTGACAACCAAACATGAACTACCCAGGTTGGTACCTACAAGGCACCCGGGCTTGCTGTTTCTGTCTTGGACTCTCTTGGTAAATAAAGGAAAAAGGCGGCGCACCGCCAAATGAAAGCGGCCTGTAGCCTCGGCCATGCGGTAGCCCAGCTCCTGGAAATGCACTCAACGGCGTTCCCAGCGAGGCTGTCGTTGACCAAATTAGCATCCACAGTGACACTTCGTTGTGAATGGCAGGGTGATTGACAACTAGTGCTGTTCTGCATCTTCGCACTCTTTCTAATGTGCCTTGCGACATACGGAGCGCAAATATCAGTCAGTAGGTATTCTCCCTCTGGTCCTGTTGGGTGGCGTGCCGGTCGCCAATGGTGTAGAAATAGAAGCCTCAATGTTGACAACATAAATGCATGCCACTGATTGCGCCCACCAACCAATCTCATTTGTCATTTGCCTCTGGCCATGTGGAAAAGTATTATATGTATGTCTATATATATATATCTTTTTCAATGGAATCTGATCTGGGTCAACCTGGCACCCGGCATCATGCCAAGTCTGACCAGGCTGCAGTCAAGAGATAGAACAATTGCAGTCGTGAAAACATTTAAGAACCTCATTGAGCACATGAACACTGGACATAATTGCAGAACACGTGCAACTTCGCTCAATACCAGAAACTTCGCGACTGCAAGAGGTTCGCTTTGTTTGTGCAAAGCTCCTGCTGCAACTTCAAAAGGTGTGCGCTGTTTGACTGTCCCCATGTGGAAAATGTCAAGTGCATCCGGTAAGAAAAAGGCCTCTGGTTACGCTCTGGAGAATGCCCACGGGACTTCAAACAAGTTTTGCACTAGGAGGGTTCCACTTCTCAAATGCATGTGGAACAATGGTCACGTGGTGTGACGCGGCTCAGCCAAGAGAAGGTGGCATGCTCAAGGTCGGGCGCCTAGGATGTCAAATCTTGAACTGAAGCACTTCACAGTGGAACGATCGCAAAGCAGAGAAGGAACCACCGAGTAACCCCTGAGTATCGCAATCATTATCTGGACTGCCCTTCCGCTGTCATGAAAATCCTGCGTTCCTGCCTGCGGTACCAGGCCACAGCCAAGACCAATGTTGCAAGACCTGTTGCAGGCAGCACGGTGCTCAGCAGTGCCTCACAGAAGGCTTGACGAAAGTTGCACAGAGTTGGGATCCACTGAGCCCCTCAAAACTACCCGCAAGTATAGTTATTGTAGATCAATGTCACGTGTCATTGTACACATATTAAACAACCCCCCCAAAAAATAGAAAGGCTTTGTCAAACAAGAACGCATGCAAGCCTCCGGTGAGAATTCCTGGCTGCTGCTGAGAAAGACTGCCGCAGGGGCTTTCTTGCCCGCAGGAGTTGCCTTGCCCGCAGCCTCCTGGCACCCAAGCAATTGAGGACTTTTTTCAGCCCCTAAATTATATCTTTAAAACAACACATTTCACCACACATGCGAGCTCTTCAAGGGTGTATGCCAGCAAGTCTCAGCAAGTCCTGCCTCCAGGGCATCTTTAATGCTCTGCTCACGTTCCTTCTGCTTGGCTTCGGCCTGATGCTCTACCGCATCAGCTCGATCCTCCACCTGCATTGCTTCAACAAGTTTTCGCAGGAGGCACGGTGCTTGGAGAACTTTCTTCATCAGGACCTGGTTTTCAGGCCTCAAAATTATCTCAAGGCAAGGTTCCACCATTCTAGTCATTTTGTGCCTTTCAGGGTTGTTATACATGTTTTTTTTTCCCTTGTCCAATGACCTGTATTTCTGTAGAGGTTACGTTCAAGTAGGGCCTTGTCCTCCACCTTCTCGAAAAACTTCTCCACGACCCTCTCGGCCTTTTCCCCATACCTGGAGCAGGCCCCATGCTGTGGAAGAGGCACCATGTTCCCCATATACCAGAATGACCACACCAGTGCTAAACACAAATTGCACTCACTGAGCTCTTAACTTCTCGGCCACTCCTGACAAATGCTCAGTGTTCTTCTCAGCCTTTCCGATGTTTCCTTCGTACTCTGCCTCCTTTTGGCCAGCCTGGTGATGTGTTGAAAGCAGAACTGGCACTGGGTTGCCTTCCAGCCATCCAGGACCTTGCGGCCAAAGTGTTCCACCTTCCTGGCCATCTTCATGGCCTTGGCCCAAGAACAAAGTCGAAAGTATTGACCGAGCTGCAAAGAAATCCCTGTGACATCTCCCATTCAACCAAGGAACGTAATGAGCCTCCTTCTGTGCTTCTTGCATCAGGTCCTGTGCTTTATCCTTCTGGCTGGTTCGCAAGGCATAGTATTTCTTCTTCATCTCCTGACGGCAAGTCAATGGCGCACCAGTGCTTGACCTTCCCATTGCATGCCAATTCCAGCCTTGGCCATCTTCTTGGACTCTTTCTGAATGTCTTTCGATAGCGTCTTCAGCTCCTACCACACAAGTTCTCTTCATGAAACGCGCGAGGTTTGGATCACGGCTTGCCTTCGCGGCCTCATGCACATCCTCTGCATCCGCCAACTCCTGGAACAAAGGCGGAGTATGGGGAACAAGGCCAGTCATCAGCGGAATTCAGTTCATGCTCCCAATACTCTATTGACTCTATATATTGCAACACATAGCCAACCCCTCATATGAAGCAAGGCTATGTTGCAACACTTCGTGGCGGAAACCAGCATCCTTCAGCTTCTTGTCAAAAGAAGAGACCATGGATTCATATTCACTGCGGAAGTCGGATTCGGCCTCAGACCTGAGCCAGAAACATCCGCAAAACGGGTCTAAGGCTAAGGAAAGCAGGCAAAGCACAAACATCATCTGTTTGGCAACTGGCATACATGGTCGCGTGACATGCCTCTGGCACCTGAGGAGACCAACCTTTACTCAGTTAACTCTTAAGTTACGTAACTCTAATTACCTCTTACTCTTTAATTAATTACTCTGTCTAATTAGACTCTGCTTAGCTCTGCTATGCTCAGACTTTGAAGCTTTGCCACTTGGCTTGGCCCAGGAGCTGGATCTTGCTTGCCACCTCATCCGTCTCATCTGGTTTGCTTGCCGAGGTCTGGATTCCCTGTCGGGGTGCCCCCGCCCCTCCAAATGCCCTAATGGATCCTAATGTTTTGAATATGTGTGAATGATGGCGTGTTACAACGTGAATCTGCTGCCTCCAACCACTTCTGCAACTTCTCCACTGTGACATTCGCCTGCTTCAACGCCTCGCGTTCATCGCGCTCCGCCTGGCCGACATGTTGTGTCCATCCTTCCCCCAGGGTTTTCGGCCCCACCTCCTCAAGAGCGGCCTGGCAACGTGGAACCCAAAGGATCCCAAAGGAGGAAAGAAACGTCAAGACATGAAGACAACAGAAAACCTCAACACATCGGAAAGCCTGTGGCGACACTGTGGTCGACTGAGCCACCACTTGCGCGATCAAGATCCTGAGACTTCAGGACACCGTTAGAAAGATTAGAAAGGCAACTTGTGGATCAACCACAGGTGCAACCAAACTACGCCAACAGCACAGCGCGCATGATGCCCTGATGCCTTGATGCCCTTCCCTTCCGCGAGCCCAAAAGCTACAAGCGGCTACAAGGTCGATGCCATGCAGACTTGATCAAAAGGCTACTTGGTCGTACCTCACTGTATGGCGATGAAACATCTTAAGCTTCCATCAAAACGCGAAAGCCATTGAAACAAGTACGAAGAACTAGCAACAGAGTCGCTCACTGGACCGCTGCGAGAAAAAACACTCATGGGAGTTCCACAATGAGGCCCTCACGACCGCCCACGGAGGCATCCTGGGAGAGTCGCTCTGCAACTCTCAGCAAACCTGGCGCAGAGAAAACATATGAAAACATACCTGTTCTACCTGGCCCTGCATGTAGTTCAATGGACAGTGCAGGACTTTGTGACACAAACATAGGAAGTTCAACTACAGTATATATATATATATTCGATGAATCTCGCTCAACAGATGTCAGCTGCTGCTACCCTTTTCTGCGCATCGATTCAGGTCTGTACTGTCTGTACTGAAGTGCTTTGGTTCGAAATGCGACCCACGTCGCTTGTGTCATCTGACATCTGACACTCTCCCTGTGGGAGCACTCCATCCGTATGTAGTGACCGAGAGGATACCGCAGGGGCGGTCCTACGGCCACAACGGATGCCAGCTCTGGACAGAGCGATGAAAAGATTAAATGAAACTCCCTAGTCATCTTCAATACCTGGGACCGTCAGAACAGGTATGATGGCTAGGCGGCGGACAGCCGGAAAAAGACAACTGGACGACAGCGGCAGACAGCACAGTCCCCATCTCATGTGGCCGACAGCCCAGGCTGCAAGCGTCACAAGCATAGCCGTGGTAACTGAAAATAACCCGGAATACGGCCATCAAGCACCAGCAAGGCCACAGGTGAAGCGACTGTCACCAGGTAACCAGACTCTTCCGGCAACAAGCCAAGTCAGCCACCAGCTCGACTAGCACCAGGTGGACATGAAAGTACTAACAGGGTGTGGCAGGGTGGGAGAAAAAGTTTAGCTTGAGGTACCAGCAGCGACACTGCTCCTCAAGGGGCGTCTCCCCAGTTTGGCTTGAGCATTCAAACATTGGGAGACGTTGATTCGAAGCTTCCCAAATAATTCATCATCACCGACCCTGCCTACCTTAAATGATTGAATATATTCGATGAATCTCGCTCAACAGATGTCAGCTGCTGCTACCCTTTTCTGCGAATCGATTCAGGTCTGTACTGTCTGTACTGAAGTGCTTTGGTTCGAAATGCGACCCACGTCGCTTGTGTCATCTGACATCTGACACTCTCCCTGTGGGAGCACTCCATCCAAGGCACTAACTTATCCAAAGCACTCAAACGAACTGAAAGACCTGAGCGATGAGGTGGTAGGGCAGCTGGAGGAGCAGGAGCAGGGGGTAGGTGTGGAAGAGACGAAAACCATGCTGTTGGAACCACAGATCGTGTTCTCCCTGTCTGCTGATGCCGTCTGACCAGTTGTCCTTACTCTGGA